TATCCATGGTTCAGGAAAGGAGATTTGGAATTCTAAACTTTCTGTTGCTGCAGAGGGGCCTAGAAAGAGCATATCCCAGTTCACCCAGAAAGTGTAACCCAGAACTTCCCACTCCCTGCTTCCACTGAGCCTTCCTTACCTGTTTCCATAGCATCCATTAAATCAGGTATGTCCTAGGAAAAAAAACCACAACCCTGCAGCTGGGCCCACCTGCACTGCTACTTATGGAGCCTCAATTAGGCTGCATGTACACAAAATTAAATTCCAGACCCAGCTGGGCCAACAGCAGTTAGGCAATTGGTTTTTAAATGCATTTGGCTTTGACCCACACTCCACAAGGCTCCAGTGTGGAGAGAGAACTGCTGTGACATGCTTTTCCTGTCTTTTCACAATATAAAGTGTGGATGTCAGAAAGGGCAGAGCAGATCTTGAGACTGGCAATTTGGCTAATCCCATGCCAGGCAGTTCAGAGGGTATTTGTGTGAAAGGAGACCCCAGCCATCATTACTGAGAGGTTTCTTGTCCAGCCATGCCTGATACACATTAATAGCAGCCCCACACTGCAGAACATTTCCCTAATTAACCAGCTAAGTTCCATGACATGCTCCCTGCTAGTTAGGTTACAGCCTCTAAGCATTAACAGCTCAGCACACACCTACTGAGCACTTCTGGGTTTGTCCATTTGCTCTTTCACATGGACATGAATGAATGGACTTCTTTCTTCAGAAAAACAATAATCTAATAGTTTATAGCAGCTGAGTGGTGGTCAGAAAGGAAACTCGCAGATTTTACTATTCCCAATGGAGTCATATGGCATGGAATATATATTTTTAAATAGCTTTATTCCCACTAATGGTACTTCCATGCCAGCCTTTCCTTGAAATGATCCAGTTTGGCTCTTCTTGTTCAGGGACAGTCGGGAATGACAGGATGGAGATATTAGTGAGGGGAAGGGAACATGTGCAGTTCCAAGACCTTGTCCACACCATGGCATGTGGGAATGAGTGCTGTGGCAGCTAGTGGTGATGGAGGAGCTGAAAACCCTTCCTCCACACTGGGAAACTTGCTCCTGCACACCACTTTCATGATACCTTAAACCAGGGTACATGTCCCAAAGATGTAGAAAGCATTATATTCTTTGTTCTGTTCTCCAGTTCTCTATTATTAAAATAGCAAATGTTCTTATCTCCCTGAGTGCTGTGACCCACACAGTCCCCTCCAGGAACAAGATCCCCCGAGTACAAACACAGAGAAAGGAGTTAGGATGTATTTAGCTGAGTAATGTGTGCTCAGAGCTGAGTTTCATCCTTGGATACTGGAGCAGGTGGCTGATGAACCCTCTGAACGAGACAGAGTTACTGAGATCAGAAAGCATAAAATGTTCCATGGGTTAAAAACAGGGAGAAAGGAAGGGCCTGGAGACTACCCCCTCTCTGTTCTGGCAAATACTGCCAGACAGCAACAGTTTAGGTAGCTGGAGGCTCAATTCAGAAATGCACTCTTGATCTGAACTAAAATATTGATACAGATGCATTTGAACCATTAGTCAAACACTTGATCCTGAAAAAAAAAAAAACCTGGAATAAATAATCAAGAAATTTGGGTGAGCACATAAAATAAATTAATAGTCGATAAAAACTTACAGAGAATGAGTATAAATTCAACCTACAAACCCAGACCTGTGTTTAGGAGGAGATGCCCTCTATCATAAGCTCAGAGAAACTCTCAATAGCTTTCACATAAATAAACTACAGGACTGTGGTTTTCACAAAATGATTTAAATGTGGGGACAGGGCTGGTTGCTGTAGGAATGACTGCAGGAAACTTCCTTGGGGCACACACAGCCAGAGGCAGTGGGCTGGAAGTCCCTGGCTATGCCCCAGCTCTTACAGAAACAAACCAGAGGTCAAAGCAAGCCAGTGGCTGAATTATGTCAATGTTGAGCAAGAAAAGGTAAATGTTAGAGGTGTATAAATGAGGAATGTGAAGCAGTAATCCTTCTGATTCACTCCCTTGCAATATCCTGTTTAATTCTGAGCACTACATTAGAAGCAGCCCAGAGGAGAATAATGGTGATGATGGGAAGTCTTGAAGATCTGAACCAGAAGAGTGAATTCATGGCTCTGATCCCTAAAAGGAAAAGTCCAAGCTGGGATGGGGTCTGTTTTCAAGTAGGCACATGCCTGCTGAATCTAATCTCCAGATGTGTTTTGGATAAGACAGGAATGAATGGACTCATATTACAGAAAAGAAGATTAAGTAAAGATTAGGAAAATCTTTGCTATCATACAAATCTCTATATTGCCTGAACAGGTTATCTAGTTAACATCACTGATATTCTTTAGGACTGGGTTACATACGTGTCTTTGAAAAAGGACAGAAGTATTTAAGATGCTTGTTTGAGGACTGTTTCAGCCCTGTGAGTTTTGTTTTTGGTACAAAGAGAAAAGAAAATTAAATCCGTTTTAATTATTCACAGACCTGTAAAAATATCTTTGCTAGCTGAATCCCATCTAGTATGGCATCTGTAATGTGTGCTAGATGCCCTAACGTCATTTCCTTCCTCTGTAAATGAAAGTTGAACCCAGACTCAGCTCCCTGCTAGACTGTGAGAACAGAACTGAACTGTATTATGTAGCTGAAGTATTATTATTGAGAAATCGTAAAATTTTCGCAATGTGGTGAACCAAATTACAGGGGGTTTTTAATTTCCTCACGGTGGTCAAGAATGGACTGCCCAGGCAGGCTGTGGGGTCAAGAAACCAGAGGATATGGTACTCAGTGCCATGGTCTCATTGATGTGGTGGTTTTCAGTCAAAGTTTGGACTCAATAATTTTGGAGGTTTCTTCCAACTTGGTCTGCTGTGGGCACAGCAAACTCTGACAGAAGCACAGGGCTAAATGTGTGGGAGTTTGGATGTGGCAAAGATTTTAAATCCTAGAGTTAAAAAAATAAGAATTAAAAATAAGTACAAGGAAAGAGACCTGCAGAAATCACACTCCTCAGAACCTTATGGCTACTAATTTCATCTGATTAAAAAATAGAGGCCTGAAAGGTGCTTGATCTGCAAAGTAGAAGAGCAAGCTCTCTATCCCTGCTGGGTCTCTTGGAACATTTCAGAAAGAACAACCAACCCCCCAGTATGAATATTCTTCTTAAATGCCTCCCTACTGATGAATGGAAGTGGGAATGTTTCGTTTGGCAGTGATAGATAAGGTCCTTCTGCTCCACAAAACATCTTGAATAACCAGAGGACATCAGTGGTACGTTTCCACCATGGACTGACACAGGACTGAGCTCCTGAGTCTCCAGGAGTGACTTTGTGACTTAAACAAACTCTACTTTCCACTTTCTAAACGATATTAAACCCCAAATTCCCTTGCAGCCTTATGTCAGCAGTGGATTATTTTGCCCATTCGGTTTCTGTAAGACAGTTGGAATAACAACACCATGTTTTCATGCTTTGATACATTTTTAGGAAGAAAAAAGGAGCAGCAAGGAGCTCGCTCCAGCTCCCCTTCCCACCACCAGGCTCCGTGGGGATGCTCTGCCCTCTGCCGGGGCTGCTCCGCAGGGAAGGGAGTGAGGCTGGAGGAACTCTCAGAATTTGGGGATGGAAGAAAACCCGGAATTATCCGGCACGGTGCCTGGGCTCAGCTCCCTGGGCTTCCAGCCCACCTCCCCTCCAGCCATGTGTGCCCATAGGATGGCAGCCCCGTCCTGCGAGCGGCCGTACAGAGCTGCAGAACCGCAGGATTAGCACGGAATTCTGATTATAGTGACCTCTGGAGATCAGCCTGTCCAGGCTCGGCCACCTGCAGCAGGTGACACAGGAGCGTGTCCAGGTGGGGCTGGAATGTCCCCGGAGAGGGAGGCTCCAGGTCCTCTCTGGGCAGCTGCTCCGGGGCTCTGCCACTCTCAGTGTGCAGAAATTCTTCCTCAGGCTGAGCTTCTCGTGTTTAGTTCATGGCCAGCGCTCGTCATCCTGTCACTGGAAAGAGTCTGGCACCATCCTCTTGGCACCCTTTGAGATATTCACATCCGTTCATGAGATTCCTTCACAGTCTTCTCTAGACTAAAGAGATTCACACCGCAGAGGTCCATCCGTCCATCCATCCATCTATCCATCCGTCCATCCATCCATCCATCCGTCCATCCATCCCTCCATCCATCCATCCATCCATCCCTCCATCCATCCATCCATCCATCGTCTGTTATGTGTAGTAGATATAATTCGCACCATTTCCAGTATGACATATGTGATATGGTATATTTGTTGGAGTACACACATTTGTATTAGGAGTCCCCCCAACCCTCGCAGGCGAGACCTGGTGTATATTAGAACCCGATTTACACATAAAAGGGTGTGGCTCGGCCAGGCCAGGAGATGGGCCATGTCTGGAGGGATACGGGATGCCCAGAGATGGATATCATGGAAATCCTCAGGCAGATACGTGTGAATGCAGTGTTCCGTAAACTTCATCAAGGGATTCAACAACTCCGGACACTGAATTTTTCTTCTTCAACACCAAAAAAGATAATCTTATTAACCTATGGACTCTGAATAGAAGAAAAGACTGCCGAAATCTTGGCCTTAGGCAGAATTTTCCCTATAAAAGTTGCTTGTGCCAGGATGGAGGTGTGTGGGCATAGAGGAAAACCTCTGCTGAGGCTGACTCCTTGTTGCACACCCAGGGCTGACCCCGGGCTCGGCTCTGTTCTTTCCTTGTGGCTGGCTAGATAGAATTTGATTGCAAAATAAATATTTTATTTTTCATATTAATTTGGCTGGACAAATTTTCATTTTTAACATGTCCATCCGTCCTTCATCCATCCATCCATCCATCCTGCCGTGAAAGCAGGCACGAAGACGGGGCTATGCGGGACACCTTGTGCCAAAAGAGTACCCTCTCCTCCCTAAAGGGCGGATGATCCCCCGAACCGCCCCCCGAGCCCCCCACACGGCGTCTCCCCACACGCCGGCAGGGCAGCGCAGGACTACATTTCCCGGCATGCCCCAGGGGGCGGTTCGCACGCGTGGCAGGGCGCGGCGGGAGGGGAGCGGAGCGGGACAGGGACGCGGCCATGGATGCGTGTGAGGGGCGGCCGCAGCCCCACCTGGCCGCGCTGGTGCTGGCGCGGGGCGGCAGCAAAGGGATCCCGCTGAAGAACATCAAGCTGCTGGCGGGGGTGCCGCTCATCGGCTGGGTGCTGCGCGCCGCCATCGATGCCGGCGTCTTCCACAGGTGCGCATGCGCCGCCTGCTCTCCGCTTCCCTTTCCCCCGGCGGGTTCTGGTTGGGGATGGACGGGCTGAGGGACCCTGGCCCAGGGAAGGGTTGGGGGAAGCCGCCGCTTCGTCAAGAGGGTTTTAGGGATGACTGTCAGTGTCTGCAGGGAGGGCTCAGAGCAGGGACCAGCCTCTGCGCCGTGGGGCCCAGCACCGAGACAGGAGAAACGTCCAGAAGTTCTCCTGGACATGAGGAATAGCTTCCTTACTGGGACAGGCTGCCCTGGCAGGGTGTGGAGTCTCCCTCGGTGGAGATACGCAGAAGCTGCCTGGGTGGAATCTTGTCCAGCCTGCTCCAGGTGACCCTGCTAGAGCAGGGAGGTGGGACCAGCTGAGCCGCTGTGGTCCCTTCCAGCCTGACCCAGGCTGTGATTCCGCCAGTGAGGCAGGACTCAAACTCACTTAAGACAAAACTGTGGCACCATAAGGCAAGGCAAGCACCTTGTCGAGAACTCAGCTGTCCCTTCCTGCTAAGGGTGAGCAGCCGAGGAATGAAGAAATTAAAGTTTTACAACGCAGTAAATGGAAATTAAAGTTGTTCTGATGCGTGGTTGAGTGGCCACTAGCTGGTGATGTCATAATTATTGATGGGTTTACTACATTAAGACATCTGCATTAAATGGGACTGCCAGGCTGGAGATGATCTCCTGTGAAGTGCTGAAGCACAGGATGACTTTGGTTCATGGTCATTTGGGTACTCGGGACAGTGTGCACTGAGCTTGGCATCTCCAAGGATGGAGACCCCACAGCCTTTCTGTTCCTTTCCCTGCACTCACCCAGAAAAATTCTCCTTATTTTCTCTCTACCTGCCCAGCAGTGAAATCACTTCCTTGCTGAGAAGTCTCTTTCAGCATCTCCTGGCACACGTGTGCTCCCAGGCCCAGTCATCGTGCTGGTTCCTGCTGAGCTTGCTCCCATTTTCCTTTGGTATCAGGGAGCCCACAGCTGGACCCAGCACATCAGAAGCAGTCTCACTCAAATGTCAAGTAGAAGGAGATAATCTTGTGTGTCCATGTGACACAGAAGAGAAGCTCAGTTTGTGGCCAAGTGGCTGAAACTTCAAAAGCAATAATTAGAGCTAGATAGAAACACGTGTTACCTTGATGTTGAGAATAGAGGCACTACAGATTTTTCTGCAGGAGCAAGACTGAGGATTTTCGACACATTTGCTGATATTTAAAGCCATGGTTAGGATGTGCTGAGTGTGTAGCATACTAAAAGGCAGATTCCCAGTGCAAACCTGCTGCATAATGCTCAGAGCAGGTCAAGGAGAAATGTAGCCCAGCTAGACCCAGAGCATTCTGTGTCTCACGGCTGCTCTGTCATTATCTAGCTTGGAAAACCTTTCTTGCTGTATCTGAAAAGTAGAGAATGCAGCACTCTGTCTTATTTTTAATAAAGAAACAGACAAGAACACTTCTGGTTACTGATAATTTCTTAATGATTGTGAAGTTGTATTGCTGTATGACCTGCTGTGCCTGCTGTTTGGCATCTGAATTTTCCCAACAGGAAGGCAGTCAGGGTTGTGCAGCCTGGCTTTGAGGCATGGCAGGTGCAATAGGTGGACATGTACCAGGTTTGCATTGTCACCTTTGGAACAGCTGTACAAGGTACCTGTTACACAACAAAACTCTGGTGGCTGAATGGGGAGTGTGTATTTAAGTTCACCATCCCAAATCAGGTTCTGGAAAACACCTCTTGTGTGTTTGTTCTCGTGGGTGTGACTTGCCATTGCTGTCACTGTCACACATATTTTTATTCTGGTGATCCCACGATGTCTGTGGGGGGAAAAATGTAATTGCAGCACCATTGCCTGTGGATAGCACATTGAGAATGCTGAATTGAGAATGCCAGCATTGCTGGGAGAGGAATGGTGACTTTTCATAGCTTTTGTTTTTACACCTCTCATGCTTTTTCGTCACCACGATGACAGCCGTGGCTTCACAGTTGCTCAGTGTTTGTTGTCACATGATATTCAGAATTAGCCCTTCCTTTTGTAAATGTTTGTTTTCCCTGAACGATCGCAATCTTGCTTTACCAGTACTGGAAGTCTTCTGTGCCAAAACATATGGAACTTGAGCAGCTCTTTCTCTGGGAGTGCATGGAGCCCAATTAACACATTTTAACACACTTGCAGCATTAGCTAATCTTTTAACTTTGTGGCAGTTTTACTTGTTGTAAACTAAACTCTTACATGATTCTGCGTGCCACATCCAACGCATTCACAATTCATTGATTTGTTAACATGCCTAACAAATTCTTTCAGCTGACACTGGATTTTTTCTGGTAACACTTCTAAATTTTATGTTGCTTAAGCTTCCTGCATGGAATGCAACTCAAGATTCAGATTTTACATTGGCGTTTTTTTATCCCTGTTATTAAAAGCTGCTTGTTGGGCTGGCTGGGATAGTTTTATTAACACAGATACAAGAATTAGTTCCTTTCATTGCGAAGTACAGTACAGACATAAACAAGCTGGGGGGGAGGGTTTCAGGTTAAATTACAACAGGCAAGTCAACAATGGTGGGGTTTATTCTTTATATTAATTTCTGTCACTGTTTGCCAACAGCATATGGGTTTCCACAGACCACGATGAGATCGAGAAGGTTGCGAAGCAGTTTGGTGCTCAGGTCCATCGCAGAAGCCCTGAAGTCTCTCAAGACTCCTCAACTTCCCTGGAAGCCATCACAGAGTTTCTCAATCATCATCATGGTAAATCAGGGATGAAATATGCTGAGCTTTTATATCGTAGCCCCAGAGAGATGATGCACTTATTATTTAGAAAAATGAGTAAAGCATTGAGTAAATTTTTTTTTTTGTATGTGGTACTTGCTCATACCACACTTTGCAGTTATGTTACTAAAGATGTGAATTTTTTCAAAAATGTCTTTTTGTTTTTCTTTAGAGGTTGATATTGTAGGAAATATTCAAGCAACATCTCCCTGTTTACATCCCAGTGACCTTATAAAGGTGGCAGATATGATCCAGAAGGAGGGGTTTGATTCTGTCTTCTCTGTTGTGAGGAGGCATCAATTCAGATGGAGTGAGGTAAAGAAAGGAGGTAATATTTAGATGTTTCTGGTTACAGTTACACTTAACTTTTTTTCCTTTTTGTTTCCAAATTCTTGCTTTTCATACCTATGCTATTTTAGGAAGTAATGTCTGAGGCATGGACTGAGTTTTCTCTGAGAGATTTGAGATGGCTTAGAAATTCCTTCCAAGCATAGGTGTCTGAGCAATTACTGTCCATTAGTGAGCATTGCTGAGCCTTTCTGTAACTGTTTTGTAAAAATTAAAATTCTGTTGAAATTATATTAGCTTGTCTAAGCTGAAAATACAGTTCCAAAAAACTCCTTACATGGTAACTTCTTCCTAGTGGGTATTCATGTGTATTCAGATATTACACTGAGGTCCTAGCTAGAAAACTGTTTGTTCTTGCTGTGCAGTAGCTAAAAAATGACCAGTAATGTGAGATAAAATCTTGGTGAGGATGAGATGGCAATCTCTTGGCCAGGAGACTTAGGTTTTGTTTCATCCTGATAATTTGGCTGCTGACTTATGTCACGTTGCAAAATGCCTGTGAGTCATGGAAGCTGAACTCATGTTGCTTAGCTCATCCAGAAAAACATGACTGGATTTTCCCAGAGAAAATATGCCCCTCAGCTACAGTGGCCAAGATGACCAAAGACTGAAATTTTACAAATAAAGAATGCACCTTGGTTTATCTGTAAACCCCCTTTTGTCCTGGTGTAAAGAGCTATTCCACGTGGTTTGTATCTTGGCTTTGTTTCTGTGGTTAAAGCAGAATTTTTTTCTTCATTTTTTAAAAATGGTTGTTTCAGCTACTCTCACACTGGAGTTTTGGTGGGTTTTTTGTTTTTGTTTTTTTTTTTAATTAAAATTACTCAGGCATTATAGTTACTCTGTTGATTGCTTCAGATGAAATTTTATGTGAGTTTAGAAAGCATCATGCTGTAAAGAGCATGTGTAATAAATGAGGCTTGATCTGAGAGATAAGTTGAAATAAAAATTAAGCCTTTGTTTAGAATGAACATTTGAACATTATCATTGTTCCCCATAAGAGAAGAAATAAGTGATGCTTTTTGTTTGTGCAGTATAAGAGGAGTATCAAAAGCATGGGTGGCAATTTCAGGGTTCTGTGGATTGCAGTTTAGGAAGCCACATGCACATCTTGAGATGCTGGAAGGGACAAATGTGAAAGAATAAATCTCATGTGGATCTGCCATGTGGCTTCCGGAAGTGGTTGTGTCCCATAGGCAGATTGTTAAATAAGAAAGCTTTGAGGCCTACCTAAAAAAAAGAAGTAATTCTTCAGCACAAAATGACATCCAAACATTTTAATGTGGTGAGAGGTAAGGAATCATTCAGCTGCAAGGACTGAGGAGAGCTGGAAACACATTGTGCCAACATGAGCAGCTCAAGGACAAATGCAAATGGCCTTTGAGGTGTGTGGTGTTTCTGGTGACAGTGATTCACAACAGCATTATACAATGGTTTTTCTTTTTTTTTTATTTTTCCAGCTTTAGAATACTGATTATACAAAAATAATTTCATGGAGTTGTTGTTTTGGGGGGTTTTTTTGTTGTTGTTTTTGGTTTTTGGTTTTTTTTTGTAGTTCTGTTGCTCCTTCTGCATTAAGGTTTAATATTGATAGACTCAATATTGATAGACTATTGATAGAAAGAGAAAGGTGTCTCTCTCTGACTGGGAATGTTTACTACAGTGAGCACAAAGTTTTAGTTGGTTATGAAACATAAGGGGTGTGTGTGTGTGTATCTCCTAAAGCCTCAGGATGTTTTGAGTGTTTGGGAATGCCCTCTAAGTATCTTGTGGTTACTGGAATTTTAGCTGCTTTGTACATCTGGATTGAAGGGACTTATGGACAAAAGTCTCTGGTCCTTGATTTGGTTTCTGCTCATGTCATTGGTAATAATATGGGATCTTTTGGGAGACTGTGCAGACAGGTATTTATTTGTGGACACTGATTAAACCACTTATGAAGAGTTAATGCATATCCTTAAATAGGATGTATTTTGGGGAAGTGCCAAGATGTTTTCACAGGCAAAAATTATTCATATATGCTCTTTTTCACCTTCCAGATTTAAGGCTCGTCCTTTCAGGTATCAGAGTGCATTCAGGCATTTCTGTGTGCACTAGGAGTTGAAGTACAGGAATGGTATTTCTTTCACATTGCTAAGGACAGTTGGGAAGAATGTTCCTCCTACTGCTTGTAGGAGACAGTTTTGAAGCAAATAACATCTTGGGTTTTTGTTGTTGTTTTTGTTTGGTTGGTTTGGGGTTTATTTCTAAAGTGCTAATGAAAAGTTCCCTTTTCCACTGCTGGGCTAACAGAGTAGTCCTCCAGTTGATCCACAGTTCCAAGAAAGAGAAGCAATTCAGTGATTCCCCAGAGAAGTTGTGGATTCTGCATCCCTAGAAGTGTTCCAGGCCAGGTTGGGTGGGGCTCTGAGCAACCTGGGCTAGTGAAAGGTGTCCCTGCCCATGGCAAGGGGTAGGACTGGATCATCCTTAACGTCCCTTCCAACCCAAAGCAGTCTGTGATTCTTTATAGAGTTAAGCAGCAAAAGGCATTAATGAGAGAAGTTGGTGACTGAATTATGCCCTTAATTTTTCAACAGAAAGTTGTTTAGGATGTTAAGTGACTCTGAACACTTAACATCCTAAGTGTTTGTCTTTTTTTTTTTCCTTCTGTTAACAGAAAACAAGATGACAGAGCCCCAAAACCTGAATCCAGCAAAGCGGTACCGCAGGCAAGACTGGCCTGGGGAGCTCTATGAAAATGGCTCATTTTATTTTGCCAAGAGGCATCTGATTGAGAAAGGCTATCTGCAGGTTAGTGCTTCTGGTTTTTCAAGCTCTTCAGAATAATACATCTACTCTTGCTGTAGAGGGTTATGAATTCAATACTTTGTTTTGATTTCTGATGCAGTCAGCGTGAAATAACAGCACTCTGACCCCAGAACAGTTTGTTAATTGTAACTTAGCAGGTTACAAACAGTTACAGCTAGGGCAGTTCTAGTAACAGCATCCTCCATAGCAAATACATTTTTGCGAATCAATGTCTTATATAGCTTTAACCCTAAACCAATACAGTACTGAGTTGAGTTTTGCATGAGTTCACCAGTGTATCTTAGAATTCATTTTAGTGCCACTAAAGGTGTAAAACTGAGCTTCATGCAGTGTCAGAGCCTTGCATAATCTGTAAATTTCTATGTTCAGCCAGTTTAATCGTACCCCAAATTTATACTGTAATTTTAACAGTCTTTTTCCCTTTCCTGATGTTTACATCCTGATGTAGTGGTGCAGAACACCACTGGGGTGTGGTGGATATTTTGCCATTGGAAATTAAGTAACAGTAAGCAAGTAATAATAATAATAGTCTTCCTAAGCAAATGCTAAAGGTATTACTATTTTACTGGATAAAAGATCTAGTGAAATTAGTGTGATGTAATTACTATAATGCATATCATCTTGCACACTTACTCTAGTTGTAAAATGGAAATAGTTATTAACTATTTCTTCAGTAGTTATTAACTGTTCCTTCAGTTAGGAAGTTCCTTCAACTGAGATGTTTGAAGTTCCTTCAAATTAACTGTTCCTTCAATTTCTTCAATAGTTATTAACTAAATTGTAGAGTTTTTTGTTTGTGTTGACCCAAGCAGATAATTTGAGTGGATTTTATTTCCTTCAGGGTGGTAAAATGGCCTACTATGAAATGCGTGCAGAGCACAGTGTGGATATTGACATAGACATTGACTGGCCTATTGCAGAGCAGAGAGTGTTGAGGTAAAAGCACTTTTTGTTCCCTTATTTCTTTGGTGCTGCCTGTTTGAAAGTGTGGTCATTTGAATTTATAATGTGTGGAATGTAAGCAATGGAGATCAAAGATAATTGGGCAGCTTAATTTCTGCCCAGGATTTTTTCCTCTCTCTGTTCTGATTCAGAAATCAACTGAATTACCTTTGTTAGATTGTGGGGTTTTGGTAGCTTGATTTTTTTTCTTGAAGTTCAGCTTGGTGAAGAGTGTAAGCCCCACTATACCTCAGAAATGTGTTAGCATAATCTGTGGCTTTCCCAGCTGAGGTGCCTCAGATTTCCATGCTCCAGACCAATATAACTGATGCCCAGGAATGGGAATGTTTGTGTAGAGGGCATGAGCTGATTCCACCTCACCAGGTGCCTTTTCTTTGTAGCTGCTCTAAGGAAATAATGGGTGGGAATGGAGTATATTTTCTGTGCCTTTTTCATCCTAATTTTTAAGTGGATGACATAAATGAACTCTCTTTTGGATGGTTCTGTTAGTTTCTTTGAAGAGGGACAATATAGTTGGAGAGTGATCATGATGAGAAAAAACATTAGAAAAGAAGAATTTCTAAGCTGATTCTTCTGTCTGAAGATTACAGTTGTATGGAAAATACTTGGAGTTTTGAAATGTGCAAAAACTTCGATCCTAAAAAGGTAATTTCTTTGTCTAGCTTTGGATATTTTGGCAAAGAGCCACTAAAAGAGGTGAAGCTCTTGGTTTGCAGTATTGATGGATGCCTGACCAATGGTCGAATTTATGTGACAGAAGATCACAAGGAAATGGTCTCCTACGATTACAGGGATATTGTTGGCATTGATCTGTTACATAAAAGAGGAATCCAGGTAAGTGCTGTTGTGAAGAGTGAGCCTTCATGTCTCATGTAACCTGCACATTAAAAGATTCTAAACAATTATATTCTTGCAGCATAGAAGTTGAAGTTTTTTCACAGTACTTGTGGTCAAGCAGCATAATGTATTGGTTGGGACAAGTGTTATCCTCAGAGCCCTCAGAGGAAAATAAGTGTTTTGAGAAAGTTCTCAATCACAGTAATTACAGCCTCTTTCACAGAATCACAGAATGGCCTGGGTTGGACCATCTTGTTCCATCCCCCTTCCGTGGGCAGGGACACCTTCCACTATCCCAGGTTGCTCAGAGCCCCATCCAGCCTGGCCTTGGACACTGCCAGAGATCCAGGGGCAGCCACAGCTGCTCTGGGCAACCTGTGCCAGGGCCTCAGCACCCTCACAGGGAACAATTTCTTCCTCATATCCAATCTAACCCTCCCCTCTATCACTTTGGAGCCATTCCCCCTTGTCCTGTCACTCCAGGCTCTTGTCAGGAGTCTCTCTCCATCTTTCCTGTGGGCTCCCTTCAGGCACTGGAAGGCTGTACTTAGGTCACCCCAGAGCCCACTCCTGTGAAATGGAGTAGATGTTTTTTCAGCTTCATTTTCTGGGAAGCCAGAGGAGTAGCAAGCTTGTAATCACTGTTTTGTTGCCTTTGGGAGCCCATTTCCATACCTTTTTTGACTTGGAATGTTTCATTAAAAACCTCTAGGTCTTTGTGCTGTACTGCATTTATTTCTAGTCTGTGTTACTGATACAATCCTGCTTTGTGCTCCACTTCTCTTCATGCTGTACTTGAAATCAGTGTCAAGGATTTGTTTGTATTTAAAAGCAATTAGGGAAGCTTGTCTACAGCTTTTACACAAACCTGAAAGATTTGCATCTGAGATTTCTAAAGATGCTGCTGCAATTATCTTCTGGTTTTAGCTTACCTTGTGCACCATTCCTGAAACTTTTAATTTGGAATGAACTTCCAGAGATAAATGTGCTTTGCTGCTTCAGTCTGTGTAGTGTTGGTTTGATGCTCTGAAATGCTGCTATAAATAAAGTTATGTTATTAAGTAGAGGGGCCAAGAAAAAAACTTCATGTTCTACTTCGGCAAATATTTCAGAAATCTTTCTTGGGAATTCTCTCATTCCACACAGTGACGTAACTGGATCATATTGCACTAGATAGTCACCATGCCACCATACTGTGATATTTCGTATTTTATTTAGTACATGTTGCATTTAAAAAGACAAATTTAAATTATTTTTGAACATCAGAGAGGGCTGAAGAAAGGTATTCTGAAGGAACCTCAAGACTCTGTGTGGTTTTGGATGCAAATCACTTCAGCTCTGAGTTTTGAAAATCAGTCATTTGATGCTTTTTTGGCACCCAAGAGAGTTTGTATAGCAAAACTGCTTTTTTTGTAATAGTAAATCAACTTATGTGTCTTATTCTTTGGGTGTAGAACTTACTCTAATTTTATTTCCATAGGTTCGACTCATCTCTGACAGAGATTGTTCAAAAACTCTGTCAGCCATGCAGCTGGGATGTGTAGCAAAAGTGAGTGTAACAAATAAACTACAGGTTCTGAAGGACTGGCAGGAAGACATGGGTTTGAGCTGGAAAGAGGTGGCTTACTTAGGTCAGTTCCTTTTCTTTTGGTTTATTCAATTTAAATAGCAAAGACAAATAGAATCTTTATACTGCTGCTGAACTTCAAACCACTTTTCTCTTTGTAAATACACTGGATTTAATGGGATTGCTGTGCACATTGCAGCACACAATCACCAAAAGCAGGTATTTTAAGGCCTGTTAGGGTACAATCTAAATGTTACAGACATTGATGAATCTGTGTAATTTGGGAATGGAAGTCTTCACTGGTTTTCCAGTGTGATATAGGAAAGCTTTTGTTTTTAGGAAACATTTTGATATCAAAATGTTGATAAGCATACACTTAGACCTGACAATTTTGAACTGATTCTAGTTCATTTCAGAGGGATATTGTATAGATTATGTTCTGAAATGGGCATAATTAGAACTGAAAGCCAGGTGCTTCTGTACTAAACTGCATTTCAGTGACAGGCTAAGTGAGGAGTCCTGCCAGTGCTTATTCAGCTGCTCACATAATTTTACTGCTCTTAAAAGTAGCATTCTCTTGCCTGAAGATTGTGAAATGTGATCATTTACATGGATCACCAAGATTTTCCAACACCTGACTTGCATGTGCAAAGTGCTATTGAGCTGCTGAGATGAACACTGTGACCAAAAAAAAAAAAAAATCAAAAATCAGATCAATGCATACCCAGAAAAACACTGAGAAAAATACTGATTCTTTCCCTTCTGTGATATTTGGCCTTGCCTGTCATCTTCTTCCCTAGGAAATGAGGAGTCTGACGTGGAGTGCCTGAAGCAGGCAGGCATGAGTGGTGTGCCTGCTGATGCCTGTGCTGCTGCTCAGAAGGCTGCTGGCTACATCTGTAAGAGCAGAGGTGGCTGTGGAGCTGTGCGGGAGTTTGCAGAACACATATTCCTGCTCTTAGAGAAAGTGAACTCTGCAAGGAAGCAGCTGGAAGAAATCAGCTCTGTGGGAATCCAGGACTTCCCTCTCGCTGCCCTGGAAGGTCTGGGACCCTGGCAGGGGGTCAGAAACCCCCCTGTACAGAGCCCCCAGAGACACTGTCTGTGATCTCTGTCCATGAAAAAGAGTTTTCAATCTTACACGATGAATTACAAGCTCTGAGTGTGTGATAAGAGTAATAATTGAGTGTGGCACGGGTGCAAAAGTAAAATTTTAGGTTTCTAGATTAGGGGTTCAAGGGGGACAATATGGAGGAAATTGGGTGTGCCTTGTCCTTTTTCTCCTTCTTCATGCCCTCCATGTTTCACTGTGGTGTTGGCATTTTTCTATTGGTTCAGGCTGGGGACACACTGTTCAACGTAGGTGACAGATATTGGCACATTATTGTAAATACAGCACAGGTAGTTTGTGGTATTTAATGTTTGTAACATCCCACTGAGGGCAGAGCCCCACACGCTGCCCTGCAGGACAGAGCTGCGGCAGGGCAGTAGAACATGTTAGAGATAAACAGAATAAACAACCTTGAAACCAGCACAGACAAATGATGGCTTCTTCTTTGGCAGTGGGGCAGAGAGACAGAGACTTTCTACAATCTCGGAATCATCAATACCTGCAGATTCCGACACAGCTCAGCAGGGAAGGAAATGGGAAGAAATGAGAACAGCAGGAAAGGAAATAAGGAACTGATGGAAAAAGAGTAATGCCGTTGGTCAGTCCTGCTTTTCTTCCCCAGTACATCCGTATTCCAAAGGAATGTTTGCCTTTCAAATTTTACAGCATAGTAGAGGTAAAAAGGTGTCTCCCCCTAACTCCAGGTCCCACATTCATGATTATATGCTGAAAATATGATCATACCCATGATGATTTTAAAAGCCATTTAAATGCAATGGGAGGCATGCTACAAGAGAGAGTACCCTGTAAATCTGCCCTTAATCATCACACCTGTCCTACAGGAATAATGCATTTTTATTTCATAATCTGAATGTTTTCAGGGATCAATGATTTTGCATGACTTGGAGATTTGCAATTCAGGCTTAAAAAACCCAAAACGTTTGCCAGTTCTGCTCATATGGTTTGCATTTCTTTTATCAAATGCGTGGTGTTTTGGTTGTGTGATTGCATTTTACAGGCTTTGTCCTTAGCTAAGAAGAGTTTTAACATATGCTGGAGACCTCAGGTGTAAAGTACTTATCAATAAAACTTCCCCCTGTGTTTTTAAAATAGAACACAGTTACTGTAAAACAAGTTAATATTCATTTTAAAAAGCACTTTAACATGTGTTCGGTTTGAAGCTCATAAATAATTAAATCAGATTTGGAATTGTGCCTCTTGGAATCTGTTTATTTTGGTTGTTATTGTAGTGCCTAAATTAATATTTTGCCAAATTTGGAGTTAAATTTCCCATTGTCTTTGAGATCTTTGCAGAAACTCAGTCTCTTTCTATGATGACTATATTGCAACCTCAAATGAGTTAAAGCCAAAGAAAAATTTTAAAGTTTATTGTATGGAAAAGTAGCTGCTGTTAAAAAAAAAAAAAAGCCACCAAACCATATATATAATATATATATACAGACTACTTCTAGCATGTTAAAACTGGTTTACATTCTTGTATTTATTGAAGTAGGATTTGTATTGTACATTACAAATACAATAGTATATATCAGAGTCAAGTTCTGTTTTGTGTTATGCTAAAAAATAAAAATACCCGTGGTTCGCAGGCAATTACAAGTGAGGTGAATAATAATGGCTTGTCATTTTATTTTGTTTCTCTGCTAAATATTGAATTGTATAAATAGTTATACTCCCAGTATATCACATGAAATATTGGCCTCTGATAAACTTTGTGTTTACTTCCTTTCACAAAGCAAAATGTTGAACTGAAATGATTTACTGCCTATCTACAGTTAACAGATAAAACAGTTTATTGTACTAATCAGCTCTAAGTCATCTAAATTTAAGTGTCTCCTTTCAGTCACGTTTTAAGGTTCTGTGCTGGATTAATCCCATGGACTTTGACAAGAGAAGAGCCACATCTTGGACATCAGTGTTGTCACTTTGATGAATTCTTGTTTAGGAGTACATGATATAATCTTACCTTGGAAAGAGTATGAAGGATAAAAGAGCTCTAGAGACTGTTTACGAGAAAAAGATAAGGGATCTGCAGGATCTGCTGCCTGAAAGGTTCAGATTTGTACTACCCACACTGTAGTGGAAAGCCTAATTATAGGGTAGGAAGAGGGACGCCTTAATTACGCCTCTTGATTTTATAGAAGAGCCTCAGTCATATGAAGGATTTAGGGCTCAGAGAGGCAGACAGTGAGGGTAACTGTCACCTTAGAGGTGAAATCCCAAGTCCCAGGAAAGGGTCAAATGTGTAGAATATTTTTCCAAGGCCTGTTCTAGTACATGTGATACTACAACTGCTTTTGATTACAGGAGTATTGCTCATTCAAAGTAGATTTCAATGGTCAGTTTTGTTGTTCTGGGCTAATTTTGAGATCATCCTTTCACCATGTGAGCACTTGTTTTTTGCTTCAATTAACTTGGGTATTCCAAAGAAGATCTTAGGTAATGTGGGCTGTCCTGTCATGATTATGTGAAATGGAAAACCAGGAAACTATGTAAATATTTGTAATAAGGTATTATGAAAAAATAGCTGATTACCTCAAATTTTAAATGAACAGCTTTCTTTAGTCTTTTAAGTAGAGAATGGTTATGGGCTGGCTTGTGGTGAGTTTCTGTACTGCAAATCATACACTCCCAAGTTCATGTGCCACATAAATGATTTATGATTGCAAAGGTGGACCGATTTAATGCCCAAATTAATCCTTCACACCTTCACCTACTTCTGACTCCGATTATTTATTTTTATCTGTTTTTTCTCCTATTGAGTTTGTCTTCCTCTCCAGTTCCTGTTTGGTGGTGCAACAAGTTCTGACCATAAGTAATTTCAAATCAATATGAATCACATATATCTTAGTCTTTTGAAGTCAGAGATATGTTTTAATACTTGCTGATTTCAAGTTTTTAAGACTTAAACCTAGAGCACACATTTTAGGTAGCTAGTTTTTCCATAGCCCATGTGGAGGAAGGTTTTTGGTTTTAATTATTTTTTTTCTGTCAGTGTGGTCTTAAAACACTATTTACCTTTTGCAGAAATAAGTCTAAATTAGTCTAATTCCGCCCAGCAGGACCAATCATCCTAATTGTTACCATTACAAGAACAGTAATGCTGTACAGAAGAAAAACACCATTATGTGTGAACCTGATGCATAAATAGATTAGAAAAATTTACCAGTAATACACTTGTCTGAAAAATCTTTGGATTGTGGGTTTGTTTCTCTCCTGGGACAGGTTGGTCTATCCCCATTTCTGATTCTAGATATGTTTATGGATGTGGCTCTGGTTTAATAGAGCATTCCCCCTGCTGTGAGGGTGACATGAAAGAAAATGAGCAGTGAGCAATGTGAAGGTAATGATACCAAATTATTCAGATTAGTAAAGAGAGGGCCTGGTGAAACTGTGGAGATTATATATAAAATAAGCTGAGCTTAACTGAAAAACAGTCCTAATGTCATATATATTACAATATCCATTTTCACAGAGCAATTATAATTCAGAAAATTATCTAGTGGTTTGAAGCATATGCTAGCAGTTGAAAAAGCAGAAATTATGAGAAAAAGAATATGTAGCAAATAGGATAAAAATAATTAATCCACTGTATAATTCAGTGATTTGTGTGTATCTTGAATACTGCATGTTTTGTTTATTTTGTGTTGAAATGGCTTAGCATTCCAAAGGGTTGTGGGAGGATAAAAAGGATGGTGGAAAACAGGAATCAGGTTCAGTGGCAGCAGTAGCCAAACCAGAATTTTACACTTTGGAAGAAGGATTCTTCACTTTGGACTGAAGGGAGTTGTGTTAAAACATCTGTCAAATTAAAGATGGGAAGCCATGGAAAGGCCACTGAAGAAGCTAGCAGTGACCAAAATCAGGTGCCTGAGATATATAAATTTGCCACGTATTTAGTGGTGCTTTCCAGCTTTTCTGTGGCCTCAGCACATTTGCAGCTCATGGATTTCCAAAGCTGGACACAGATTACAGACATTTAATGAACTTCAGAATACTTAAAGCAGGTTTGAGCCATGTGTTTCATAAATCTGACACTTGGTTCAGTTCTGGTTCTGAACCTTGGATTCTTCCTCGTATTTCTTGTGTAGGAAATACCCAACTGCATTTTTTTTTATTTCACAATGTATGTTAGTGGTTCATTCCACGTCAGTGTGTAGCTCTGACACAGTGGGCAGAAGGACATGGCATTACTATCATTAATAGGAGTAATCTAATCTTAAAAAATTATGGAAAATAGGGCAAAAGTACACACAGAATTATGTAAGAGTACAGGTACCTTGGATGAATCAGTAGTCATTATTATCTGTAGTCAGAGATAGAGTAAATTGCTGTGAAATTTCTTGGCCATAATGTACTCAGAGGTTTGGAGAACATGCTGGAAAATACGACGTTTTCCCCGATTGTTCACATGCTATGCAGACAAGTTCCTGGTCTGAATTGAAACATATCTGGAGTAGTTATGGCTACTCTTGTATTAAACATGGTGAAAGTTTCTCCAGGGGTGTAACTTTTAACTGAGGGTATAGTTGTACACCTCTTTATGGCTAGTAATGTCCATGTGGGATTTTGTTTTTTACTGTCCCACCTTTTATTTCCTGGTTACACTTTGTCCACAGCAGTTCAGACTCAAGCTGGGAGGGGATCAGTCACCATTCACGGATCCTTCTGAGCAGCGAGGCCCAGCAGAAGCATTCCTATTCATCAGGTAAATCTTGGTCTAAAAAACTTGAAAACGGGATGAAATACCTCAGGATCACAGAATGAGCTGAGTTAGAAGGGACCCCTCAGGATCAGGAGTGCAGCTGGCCGTGCAGGGACCCCTCAATAATCCCACCCTGTGCATCCCTGAGGGTGCTGTCCAAGCACTCCCGGCAGCCCTGGGGCTGTGGTCATTCCCTGGGGAGCCTGTTCAGTGCCCGACACCTTCTGAGGGAAGAACCTTTTCTGAATCCACCCTAACCCTGTCCTGGCACAGCTCCAGCCATGCCCTGGGCCTGCCCCAGAGGTCAGGGCTGCCCCTCCTTCCCTCACAGGGAGCAGTGAGCTCTCCCCTCAGCCTCCTCCAGCTGAACAGACCCCAGCGGCCTCGGCTTCTCCTCATTCCCCTCACGGCCCTTAACCCAATTTACACAAACATAAAACACTCCCATTCATGTCACTTAATGAACTTTAAGTTTTCCTGAATATCATGATCTACCTTTGGATCAATTCCATTCTCTCAATGCTGCCTCTTAAAGGACCTTAAGGAGTTATCTCTGCCTGGAGTCTGAACAGATTTTATTGGCAGTAGTTCCGATAATTCACGAACAGGCCCAGCTCTTGGCTTGCCCCATCATTGGAGCACTTTGCTGAAACAAAGCATACGTTTGATTTACTATGGAAGTCAAGAGGTTTTTAGGGGATTTTGGGGTAAACTTGCAGGCAGTGCATGGCAATGTGGAAAGCAAACTGGCCCAGTGCCTTGCAGTGCCTCTGGGCAGCAAGGGAGCTCGAGCCTGGGCTGCTCCAGCCAGGCTGCAGTCATTGCTGAACACTTTTTTTTTTTTTTTTTTTTTTTTTTTTGTTAATTTTAATCTAGGTAAATCCTTAATTTAGCCAGCAACAGGCCATGCTGTAAACTGATTTATTCCTCATCCCCCCTGAAGCAGCTGGGGAACTGACTGCACTTTGAGCAGCACAGTGTTACCTCCCCGGCTGAAGGGTAGGTTTAAAGAGTTTACCAAGCTTATCTTGATCCACAAGGCAAGTCCTCATCCTGTGCCTTCACACACAGTTCCACGTTGTGAGTACAATGTTGATGTAAACAATCCTTTTTGTATGTGCATATAATGTGTGGTGCAAAGGCTGCTCACAGCAGTCTTTGTGCAGATAAACTCAATTGCAAACCTCATTTCCCCAAGGACCCTCTGGCTTTTTTCCCATACTCAAAGGGCCAGAAAAAAACAAGTCTCAAAGTAAAATGTTCAATTATATTCATTAGCTGATCTCTTGCCACTTATTAAAAGTGGAAGAATGGCACCTGAAAGGAGGGCAACAGTGGCATTCTGGGGGAAGAGTGGGTGATTTTAATATCAGAAGAGCAAAGTAACACATCAAATGGTTATTTGTATAGACCAGGGCATCATCTCTCTGAGGTTGTGTTCAACTGGTAAATGGCAAAGGACTGCGCACAGGCTTTTCTCCTGCTCTCCTCAGCACCATAACTTCTGTGTCTTTGTGCAAAATCAGTAGGTGTTGATGCCAGTTTGCACAAAGCAGGTATGATATGAAATGAAATGAAATGAAATGAAATGAAATGAAATGAAATGAAATGAAATGAAATGAAATTAAATTAAATTAAATTAAATTAAATGGCTGCCTGGCAAGTGTGAAGTGTGTGGCTGAAGGGAGATGCGTGTTGATGAAACAAGGTTGTTTCTGTACCTCAGAAACAACACACCCAGGAGAGGAGCTTCTCTCACACACAGGAACTGTGTTCTGCCTTGGAACTGTGTGGTTGGGCAGAACAGTCCCTGGGATGTGGACACAGACAGCTGATTCTTGAAAAACCTGTTTTATCAGGGCAGAGCATATAAATAAGTGCTGTTTGGATCAAGCTGTCTCCAAGTTGTGGTTTGGTTTTGTTGCTTAAGGAGTGGTAAGTAAAATAATTCTCATCAAAACACTGGAAACAGGAATTTTGCAGGAAGAAAATAAAATGGAAAATAAACACCTTTATGGTTGCTCAACATGTGGTGCTGAAATTTATTTGGATTTGTATCAGTTGCATTTAAAACACAAAGACTCTCTGGTACCTAATCC